ACAATACTTGGGGCAATATAGTGTATATATACAGTTGCAAGAAAAAGTATGTGACCCCCTTGGGATTCTGTGAAGTTTTGCATGAATTGGGCATAAAATGTGCTCTGAACGTCATCTAAGTCACAACAATAGAAGAACACAGTCTGCTGAACATAATACTACACAAACATTAGATGTTGCCATGGTTTCATTGCACATAACATGTAAACATTCACAGTGCAGGGAGGAAAAAGTATGTGAGGCCCTAGATTAATGACTTCTCCCCAGAGCTAATTGGAGCCAGGAGTGAGCCAACCTTGACTCCAATCAGTGTGATGATATTGGATGTGTTGCTGACAGCTGTTTTGGGTTTACTGGTTTCAAGAAGCACTGTCTGATGTGAACCATGCCTTGCAGAAAAGAGCTCTCAGAAGACCTACGATCAAGAATTGTTGACTTGCATGAAGCTGGAAAGGGTTACAAAAGTATCTCCTTGAGCCTTGATGTTCCTGTGTCCACGGTAAGACAGACTGTCTACAAATGGAGAAAGTTTAGCACTGTTGCTACTCTCCCTAGGCGGGGTCGTCCTGTAAAAATGACTGCAAGAGCACAACGCAGAATGCTGCATGAGGTAAAGAAGAATCCCAGAGTGTCAGCTAAAGACCTACAGAAATCTCTGGCACATGCTAACATTTTTGTTGACACATCTACAATCAGGAAAACATTAAACAAGAATGGAGTACATGGGAGGACACCACAGAGGAAGCCATTGCTGGCCAAAAAGAATATTGAAGCACGTTTGAAGTTTGCAGAAGAGCACCTGGATGTTCCACAGCACTACTGGCAGAATATACTGTGGACAGATGAAACCAAGATTGAGTTGTTTGGGAAGAACACACAACACTATGTGTGGAGAAAAAAAGGCCCAGCACACCAACATCAAAACCTCATCCCCACTGTGAAACATGGCGGAGGGAGCATCATGGTTTGGGGCTGCTTTGCTGCCTCAGGGCCTGGACGGATTGTTGTCATTGATGGGAAAATGAATTCCAGAGTTTATCAAGACATTTTGCAGGAAAACGTACGACCATCTGTCCGCCAACTGAAGCTCCGCAGAGGATGGGTGATGCAACAGGACAATGATGACCCAAAGCATACAAGTCATTCAACAAAACAATGGCTGCAACAGCACAGAATACGCCTTCTGGAGTGGCCCAGTCAGAGTCCTGACCTCAACCCCATTGAAATGCTGTGGCATGACCTTAAGAGAGCGATTCACACCAGACATCCCAAGAATATTGCTACACTGAAACAGTTTTGTGAAGAGGAGTGGTCCAAAATGACTCCAGATCGTTGTGCAGGTCTGATCTGCAACTACAGGAAACGTTTGGTTGGGGTTATTGCTGCCAAAGGAGGGTCAACCAAGTCCAAAGGTTCACATACTTTTTCCTCCCTGCACTGTGAATGTTTACATGTTATGTGCAATGAAACCATGGCAACATCTAATGTTTGTGTAGTATTATGTTCAGCAGACTGTGTTCTTCTATTGTTGTGACTTAGATGACGTTCAGAGCACATTTTATGCCCAATTCATGCAAAACTCCACGTAATCCCAAGGGGTGCACATACTTTTTCTTGCAACTGTACAAACCAATATAATGCTGATTGGACTTTCCATGAAGTTCTCGGATTAGACTGTTGCGCAGAATTCCTCGTTATAATCGCCGGATGAGAATGAAATGATGACATAAAAGTGAAGTATTTCATTCTCGGATGGAATCAGTAAATGTAGAGAAATCTTTTCTCGTTTTCCCCCAAATCTCAGCCTGAAGAGGTGAACCCTCTCCACCTTCACCCTCTCCATCATCTCCACCCTCACCCTCTGAATCCTCTCCATCATCTCCACCCTCACCCTCTGAATCCTCTCCATCCTCTCCCTCATCTCCACCCTCACCCTCTGAATCCTCTCCCTCATCTCCATCCTCTCCACCTTCACCCTCTCCATCATCTCCACCCTCTCCCCTCATCTCCACACTCACCCTCTCCATCCTCTCCCTCTCCATCATCTCCACACTCACCCTCTCCATCATCTCCACCCTCTCCATCCTCTCCACACTCACCCTCTCCATCCTCTCCCTCTCCATCATCTCCACACTCACCCTCTCCCTCATCTCCATCCTCTCCAGCCCCAGAATGATGTCTGTATTAATTAAAGGAGAAGCTGAAGCCGATCTCCATCCAATCACTTATTGATCAGGGTGAGCAGTGGTAAGAATAGCGCAGTCCCCCTCGCGGTGGCGGCTGAGTGGCGTCACTTTCCCGGGATCGCTGTTCCTCGCTCGCTCTTCATTTCCTTGTCTGAGAAATGCACATAAAGTCGGTCACACGGGGGTCTCAGATTGGGTCTCGCTGCGTCCTTTGTGCCCATAACAGGCGGCAATCTTCTGACTCGTCGGCGAATGTGTGGCGATTCCATCACGACGCGTTATATCGCACCGCCGCAACACACCCATTATATATGATAATAAACCCAACAAATCAGAACGCAGCGTCACCATAAACATCTTCCATCGCGCTGACAAATGGGTGCAAATCATGGCGCTGGGAACGCAGTTCTGGCCCCTCCAATGGCACCATGTAATGGCACGGCGGGCTGGGGGGTCTTGGAAGGTCTATTGATGCTGCTGGGGGATCACTGGGGGGGGGGGGCTATTTTTGTGGAAGTCTATCGTTGCTGGAAGGGATCTACTGCTGGGGGATCTACTGCTGAGGGATCTACTGTTGGAGGATCTACTGCTGAGGGATCTACTCTGGGGGATCTACTGCTGAGGGATCTACTGCTGAGGGAATGGTCTATTAGAGAGTCTACTGATGCTGGCTGCTGGGAGATCTGTTGTTGCTGGTTTGTATTTTGTTGTCATTCCCCATAGCAACCAATGTCATTCTCATAGCAACCTGTCATTCCCCATAGCAACCTGTGTCATTCCTCATAGCAACCTGTGTCATTCCTCATAGCAACCTGTGTCATTCCCCATAGCAACCGGTGTCATTCCTCATAGCAACCTGTCATTCCTCATAGCAACCTGTGTCATTCCTCATAGCAACCTGTCATTCCCCATAGCAACCAGTGTCATTCTTCATAGCAACCGGTGTCATTCCCCATAACAAACCTGTCACTCCCCATAGTGACCCGTACTTGGCGGTCTGCAATGGACCCCCCCCCCCCCCCCCCCCCCCCCCGGTACAAGGCCGGAGACTCCATCGTGTATTATAGACGCAGATTGGATCGCCGATCTCATTGGCTGCTTCCCCTCCTCCACCTGGTGACGTCATTCTATGGACAGGGAGCACAGACACTCCTCCGGAGACAGTAATCCCGCCCCTTATAGGATGTACGACTCCGGAAGACAATCAGCTATTAGTCTTCCCCCGCCTCTTTTTCTGCAGACACCGCCCCATTTTTTGGTTACTATGGTAGCCAAGGACGCGTTATTGCAGCCGTCTGTCCCCGCCCCCCCAGGAAACCCGTGTGTTACTCTCGCGATACTTCCTCGCTGTTGCCAGGAGACGTGTGTTGCTTTGTATTAGTGAAGGATAAGCAGCCAACATGGTGAGTGTTCAGAGGGGGCCCCTGGGATGTACCGACTGGGGGGCCCCTGAGGTGTACTGACTGGGGGGCCCTGGGATGTACCGACTGGGGGGCCCTGGGATGTACCGACTGGGGGGCCCCTGAGATGTACTGACTGGGGGGGCCCTGGGATGTACCGACTGGGGGGCCCTGGGATGTACCGACTGGGGGGCCCCTGAGGTGTACTGACTGGGGGGCCCTGGGATGTACCGACTGGGGGGCCCCTGAGATGTACCGACTGGGGGGGGGCCTGGGATGTACCGACTGGGGGGCCCTGGGATGTACCGACTGGGGGGCCCCTGAGGTGTACTGACTGGTGACTCCCTGAGATGTACTGACTGGGGGGGCCCTGGGATGTACCGACTGGGGGGGGGCCCTGAGATGTACCGACTGGTGACCCCCTGAGATGTACTGACTGGTGACCCCCTGAGATATACTGACTGGGGGGGCCCCTGAGATGTACTGACTGGGGGGGCCCCTGAGATGTACTGACTGGGGGGGCCCCTGAGATGTACTGACTGGTGACCCCCTGAGATGTACTGACTGGTTACCCCCTGAGATGTACTGACTGGTGACCCCCTGAGATGTACTGACGGGGGGCCCTGGAATGTACCAACTGGTGACCCCTGAGATGTACTGACTGGTGACCCCCTGAGATGTACCGACTGGGGGGGCCCCTGAGATGTACTGACTGGGGGGCCCCTGAGATGTACTGACTGGGGGGCCCCTGAGGTGTACCATATGGGGAAGCGTTCCCAATGTGTACCGAATGGGGGGGGGGCTGAGATGTACCGACTGGGGGAGCGGCCCCTAGGTGTACCAACTGGTGGGGGGCCCTGACATGTACTGACTGGGCAGTCCTGACTGTTTATTCCACCATTTCCACAGATACACTCAGCCCCCCCACATTATACATCGAATGTTTTCAGGCTGTAGAATGGTCCTCTCAGTCATGGATCGGTACAACTATGGGGGGGGGGGGGGGGGGGGACCATTTCTGACACAAGTCAGGTGGGTATGAAGTGATAGAGTTCAGTCCTCAGTATTAGGGAGAGCCGGCGTGACAGTGTGGGCTCCTGGACCGTCATCATGATCTTGCTATGTACTGAGCCAAGCAGTTACCTTCCTGGAATCCATCTGCCCTTAGCTCAGGCAGGAGGATGTGCTCAGCTTAGGGATGTATGACATCACTGTGGCCTAGGCCAGAAACCAGGAAGTCATTGAAGAAATGTATAAAACCCGTAAATCTAATCCCCCTTCATGTCTATATACTGTCAGTATGAGGATTACATGGAGGTCATGGTGGGGGGGGGGGGGGGAGAGGTTCTGCTTTAGGTTTTCACTCTTGTTGTCTCGTTGTGTTCATATCTGTCCTGTCCTGAATGTCCAGCCCCCCCCAAAGAAGAAGAAGGGAGGGAAGAAGAAGTCCGCCAAGGGGAAGAAGAGCCCCGGACTGGTGGATGGACTGTCCACTGAGGAAATGAGCAAAGATCAGGTAGGTCCTTCTTCCCGGGAATGAGGTGCTGAGTGGGACAGAATGGCAGCCATGATTTTGGGGTGTCAGGTCCTCCGGGGACACCATATCCTTCAGCTCACTGATCATGTGACTGAGATCCCTGAAATCTGACAATTCCCGGCTCTCCGGAGGCAGAAGGTTGATGGAGATAAAATTGTCTGATTTCTTTACAGCTGGAGGAGCACATAGTGCGCCTTCGGGAGGAACTGGACAGAGAGCGGGAGGAGAGGAACTACTTCCAGCTGGAGAGGGACAAAATCCACACCTTCTGGGAGATCACCCGCCGCCAGCTGGAGGACAAGAAATCAGAACTGCGTAACAGGGACCGCGAGGTGGAGGAGGCCGAGGAGAGGCATCAGGTGGAGATCAAGGTGAGGACATCACTTCTTCACTTCATTGGTTTCCATCACACCGACCTCTTCCTCAGAGACACTATACACAACATTGTCATGCTAGTCCTTCACATGTTCCTCAGAGACACTATACACAACATTGTCATGCTAGTCCTTCACATGTTCCTCAGAGACACTATACACAACATTGTCATGCTAGTCCTTCACATGTTCCTCAGAGACACTATACACAACATTGTCATTCTAGTCCTTCACATGTTCCTCAGAGACACTATACACAACATTGTCATTCTAGTCCTTCACATGTTCCTCAGAGACACTATACACAACATTGTCATGCTAGTCCTTCACATGTTCCTCAGAGACACTATACACAACATTGTCATTCTAGTCCTTCACATGTTGCTCAGAGACACTATACACAACATTGTCATGCTAGTCCTTCACATGTTCCTCAGAGACACTATACACAACATTGTCATGCTAGTCCTTCACATGTTCCTCAGAGACACTATACACAACATTGTCATTCTAGTCCTTCACATGTTCCTCAGAGACACTATACACAACATTGTCATTCTAGTCCTTCACATGTTCCTCAGAGGCACTATACACAACATTGTCATTCTAGTCCTTCACATGTTCCTCAGAGACACTATAGACAACATTGTCATGCTAGTCCTTCACATGTTCCTCAGAGACACTATACACAACATTGTCATGCTAGTCCTTCACATGTTCCTCAGAGACACTATAGACAACATTGTCATTCTAGTCCTTCACATGTTCCTCAGAGACACTATACACAACATTGTCATGCTAGTTCTTCACATGTTCCTCAGAGACACTATACACAACATTGTCATTCTAGTCCTTCACATGTTCCTCAGAGACACTATACACAACATTGTCATTCTAGTCCTTCACATGTTCCTCAGAGACACTATAGACAACATTGTCATGCTAGTCCTTCACATGCTCCTCAGAGACACTATACACAACATTGTCATTCTAGTCCTTCACATGTTCCTCAGAGACACTATACACAACATTTGTCATTCTAGTCCTTCACATGTTCCTCAGAGACACTATACACAACATTGTCATGCTAGTCCTTCACATGTTCCTCAGAGACACTATAGACAACATTGTCATTCTAGTCCTTCACATGTTCCTCAGAGACACTATACACAACATTGTCATTCTAGTCCTTCACATGTTCCTCAGAGACACTATACACAACATTGTCATGCTAGTCCTTCACATGTTCCTCAGAGACACTATACACAACATTGTCATTCTAGTCCTTCACATGTTCCTCAGAGACACTATACACAACATTGTCATTCTAGTCCTTCACATGTTCCTCAGAGACACTATACACAACATTGTCATTCTAGTCCTTCACATGTTCCTCAGAGACACTATACACAACATTGTCATTCTAGTCCTTCACATGTTCCTCAGAGACACTATACACAACATTGTCATTCTAGTCCTTCACATGTTCCTCAGAGACACTATACACAACATTGTCATTCTAGTCCTTCACATGTTCCTCAGAGAGCTCCATCCCAAACCGAGGGCTCCATCCCACACAGAGAGCTCCATCCCAAACCGAGGACTCCATCCCAAACCGAAGGCTTTATCCCAAACCGAGAGCTCCGTCCCATACAGAGAGCTCCGTCCCACACAGAGAGCTCCATCCCAAACCGAGGGCTCCATCCCAAACCGAGAGCTCCATCCCAAACAGAGAGCTCCATCCCAAACCGAGGGCTCCATCCCAAACAGAGAGCTCCATCCCAAACCGAGGGCTCCATCCCAAACCGAGAGCTCCGTCCCATACAGAGAGCTCTGTCTCAAACAGAGAGCTCCATCCCAAACCGAGGGCTCCATCCCACACAGAGAGCTCCATTCCAAACCGAGGACTCCATCCCAAACCGAAGGCTTTATACCAAACCGAGAGCTCCGTCCCATACAGAGAGCTCCGTCCCAAACCGAGGGCTCCATCCCATACCGAGAGCTCCATCCCAAACAGAGAGCTCCATCCCAAACCGAGGGCTCCATCCCACACAGAGAGCTCCATTCCAAACCGAGGACTCCATCCCAAACCGAAGGCTTTATCCCAAACCGAGAGCTCCGTCCCATACAGAGAGCTCCGTCCCAAACCGAGGACTCCATCCCAAACCGAAGGCTTTATCCCAAACCGAGAGCTCCGTCCCATACAGAGAGCTCCGTCCCAAACCGAGGGCTCCATCCCATACCGAGAGCTCCATCCCAAACAGAGAGCTCCATCCCAAACCGAGGGCTCCATCCCAAACAGAGAGCTCCATCCCAAACCGAGGGCTCCATCCCAAACCGAGAGCTCCGTCCCATACAGAGAGCTCTGTCTCAAACAGAGAGCTCCATCCCAAACCGAGGGCTCCATCCCAAACCGAGGACTCCATCCCAAACCGAGGACTCCATCCCAAACCGAGGGCTCCATCCCAAACCGAGGGCTCCATCCCAAACCGAGGGCTCCATCCCAAACCGAGGACTCCGTCCCAAACCGAGGGCTCCGTCCCAAACCGAGAGCTCCGTCCCAAACCGAGGGCTCCGTCCCAAACCGAGGGCTCCATCCCAAACCGAGGGCTCCATCCCAAACCGAGGGCTCCGTCCCAAACCGAGGGCTCCGTCCCAAACCGAGGGCTCCGTCCCAAACCGAGGGCTCCATCCCACACAGAGAGCTCCATCCCGTACATAGGGGTCCGTCCCATACAGAGGTTTCCATGATTGTCCTTTATGTCCAGTAAGTGTCCATCTTGGCCATTGCTCCTCGCTGCAGCCTCGGACGTCCCACAAGCTGCAGCCTCGGACGTCCCACAAGCTGCAGCCTCGGACGTCCCACAAGCTGCAGCCTCGGACGTCCCACAAGCCGCAGCCTCGGACGTCCCACAAGCCGCAGCCTCGGACGTCCCACAAGCCGCAGCCTCGGACGTCCCACAAGCTGCAGCCTCGGACGGCCCACAAGCTGCAGCCTCGGACGTCCCACAAGCGGACGGCCCACAAGCTGCAGCCTCGGACGTCCCACAAGCTGCAGCCTCGGACGTCCCACAAGCTGCAGCCTCGGACGTCCTGAATCCAGATTTCCTCCACTTACTTTGCTGATCTCCTTGCGATCTTCTAAGACGCAGACAAGACACATTTTCTGCTCCTTAAAGTCAGCAATTTCCTGGAAACAGAAGGAACTCGAACAGAAAAACCTCCGTGGAGTAAAATCCGGAGCTGGCCATATGGAGCCGGCGAATCATCTGTCATAATAGCATTCTGCCGCCAGGCATTGTGAGCTTCTTAAAGGGCAACACCAACCAGAAGGAAGACTGGAGGCAGAGCACCAGCACCATCTGCCCTGCCAGAGTCTCACTTCTGCACTCCCCAGTTCTTCTGTGTTATTTGGCATTATAGAGCTTCCATCTCCTCCATTGGGCTCAGTAATGGCTGCAGTTGGTGGGCAGATCTGGTACTTTGGATGTGCTGCCATTGTAGTCCAAGTAGCCGGCAGCGATTAAAGCCGGCCCGTCAAAGCTGAAATATCCATTTTGGGAGGACTTGCCCTTTTTTTTCTTTTGAGTTCTTACACATGGGCGGCCAGAAGGTGGTAAAAGCAGGAGGCCAAGCTGCGGTTTTACTGCCCCCCTGGCTGCCCACCCAGACTGTACCAATACGATGGGACTGGGCACATGCTGCAGCATTTTTAACTGGGACTGCAGACTGACAGGCCGGCCCCACCATCCCCTGTGGGTGGAGGGTTAGAACTTTTTTTTTTCTCTTTCAATGATTGAACTGGATGGACTTTTGTCTTCTTTCAGCCAGACTAACTATGTAACCTGTCAGACTGTCCCACTGAGTACAGAGGGGACGCACCGCAACCGCCAAAGGCTCAGCTGGCAGCTGCGGATCGGTGCTGCGATGGAACCCCGGGACCGACTTACATAACTCGGTGATCTCTGAGCCTGTTTCTCCCATAGATGATGCCTGAGCAAAGATGGCTCAGTCCTACTAGAGAGAAAAGCCGAGGGAGGCATTGTCAGGGGGACTGTGATCTCTGCATGCATGTAAATAACACGCTAAATAAAACACGCTAGTGCCACTCTACATAGACATCAGACTGTTCTCTTGTCCTCTTCAGGTATATAAACAGAAAGTGAAGCACCTCCTGTATGAGCATCAGAACAACATCTCCGAGCTGAAGGCGGAGGGCAGCGTCACCATGAAACTGGCCCAGCAGGATCATCACACTCAGGAGAGCCTCCTGCGCAAAGATACACGCGGACTGAGGGTGGAGATCAAAGAGCAGGAGCTGGCCAATGAGATGGTGCTGAAGAATCTCAAAATGGTAAGAGGAAAGGGGCGGGGCTAAACTCAATTCTCAACTCATTTGTGCCCCTTTTTCCCCACAGAAAATCCCCCTTCACAGACCTCAAAGTATTCCGGAGCTTTTGTTTCACATTTCTAATATTAAAGGACAAGTTCACCTTTCGTAACATGTTACATACATGTTCAGGGTGTTACATGCATATTCTGGGTGTTACATGCACGTTCCGGGTGTTACATGCACGTTCCAGGTGTTACATGCATGTTCCAGGTGTTACATGCATATTCTGGGTGTTACATGCATATTCTGGGTGTTACAGGCACGTTCAGGGTGTTACATGCACGTTCAGGGTGTTACATGCACGTTCAGGGTGTTACATACATGTTCAGGGTGTTACATGCACGTTCCGGGTGTTACATGCATATTCTGGGTGTTACAGGCACGTTCAGGGTGTTACATGCATATTCTGGGTGTTACATGCATATTCCGGGTGTTACATGCACAATCAGGGTGTTACATACATGTTCAGGGTGTTACATGCATATTCTGGGTGTTACATGCATATTCCGGGTGTTACATGCGCATATTCCGGGTGTTACATGCACGTTCAGGGTGTTACATGCACAATCAGGGTGTTACATACATGTTCTGGGTGTTACATGCACGTTCAGGGTGTTACATGCATATTCCGGGTGTTACATGCACGTTCAGGGTGTTACATGCATATTCCGGGTGTTACATGCACGTTCAGGGTGTTACATGCATATTCCGGGTGTTACATGCATATTCTGGGTGTTACATGCACGTTTAGGGTGTTACATGCATATTCTGGGTGTTACATGCACGTTCAGGGTGTTACATGCACATTCCGGGTGTTACATGCACATTCCGGGTGTTACATGCACATTCCGGGTGTCACATGCATATTCCGGTTGTTACATGCATATTCCGGGTGTTACATGCATGTTCCAGGTGTTACATGCATATTCTGGGTGTTACATGCATATTCTGGGTGTTACAGGCACGTTCAGGGTGTTACATGCACGTTCAGGGTGTTACATGCACGTTCAGGGTGTTACATACATGTTCAGGGTGTTACATGCACGTTCCGGGTGTTACATGCATATTCTGGGTGTTACAGGCACGTTCAGGGTGTTACATGCATATTCTGGGTGTTACATGCATATTCCGGGTGTTACATGCACAATCAGGGTGTTACATACATGTTCAGGGTGTTACATGCATATTCTGGGTGTTACATGCATATTCCGGTGTTACATGCATATTCCGGGTGTTACATGCACGTTCAGGGTGTTACATGCACAATCAGGGTGTTACATACATGTTCTGGGTGTTACATGCACGTTCAGGGTGTTACATGCACATTCCGGGTGTTACATGCACGTTCAGGGTGTTACATGCATATTCCGGGTGTTACATGCACGTTCAGGGTGTTACATGCATATTCCGGGTGTTACATGCATATTCTGGGTGTTACATGCACGTTTAGGGTGGGTACATGCATATTCTGGGTGTTACATGCACGTTCAGGGTGTTACATGCACATTCCGGGTGTTACATGCACATTCCGGGTGTTACATGCACATTCCGGGTGTTACATGTAATATGTTATGAACGGACTGGCACCTGCTCCTCTCCGGTCCCCGATTGTCACAGCTATCATGGGATCTTCTCCTCCCCGCTAGCTGTCACAATTTGTAAAAAACGTGGCTCCGCCCACCCAGCCGCGTCATTCATTCACGGCGTTCTGTCGGCTTTTAGTTCTCAATGAACTCTCCACAGAGCCGTTGGTACTTCATTGAATCTTCCTGTCAGTATATCTGTGTGCCGTGCATCCTGTACACCCCGTACACCCCATACACCCCGTACACCCCATACACCCCATACGGACAAGCAGGTATACTGACAGGTCTGCAGGAGATCTGCATGGCACCAGGGATCTGCTGATTGCTGCTGCAATGCTTTAGGTCAGGGGTGTCAAACTGGCGGCCCTCCAGCTGTTGTGAAACTACAAGTCCCATCATGCCTCTGCCTTTGGGAGTCATGCTTGTAACTGTCAATCTTGCAATGCCTCATGGGACTTGTAGAGGAACCAGAAACAAAAAATAATAAATGCACATTTTTTTTCACTTGCAAAAATATCTAAAAATTGCCCAAAACTTGTATACAGCCAGCGGGTGGGACAAGCCGGCCTTTTAGTTACACAAAGCCACAGGTTTTCATTGTGGACCATTGCGACCCTCTAGCCGCCGGCGTCCTGACAACCAATGACATCATCAGTTGATAAGGAGGATGTCAGCTGCCTGCACAGCATCCTAGTTTGGCCCTCCCCCGCCCCTCTCCATCAGTGTTGGGGTCACATTAGCTCAGTGATGGAGAAAAACTGAGGGAGAAGAGAAACAATGGGATACTAGTCAGTACCAGTGTGCCAAAGTGTATTTGCTTTGGAAGAATAGATCCCCTCCAGTGTTGGACGTCCTCCATGTGGGGGTGTCGCTGCGTTATATACAACTATTAGAATCGGTTTTCACACTTTAGAACGGGGGGGGGGGGGGGGGGCGCCCTTTTAAAATTATGGACAGTCTAGAGGCACCCTGTTTTAGAATGGGGGGGGGGCCTCAAGACTGTCCATTATTTTACAGGGTGCCTTGGCTGAAAAAAGAAACGCTGGTCTAAAAAGATGTTGTCCAGGGGATCGGGCTGCTGTGCTGACGTGCGAGGAGGATTTCTATAGTCCAGACCTCTAATGTGCGGAGATTACTAATAATAATAATAATAATAATAATAATAAATATTGTTTCATTGTATAGCACTAAGCGCAGCATTTTTATACATTTACATTTCTTTTTTTTTTTTTTTAAATTCTATTTTTATTGAAAACAATGGAACAGCAGAAGACACGTATCATGTATCCATATAAACAAAACACAGAAGAAAGCTAACAAAAGCGATACAAGCATGCGCAAATTCCAAACTAGTACAGGGAAAATACAATCCCAAGGCAGTGTGGAGGGCAATTCGGTGCACACTAATGTCAAATCCCTGCTGTAATATAAACAAAAAAAAAAAGGGATAGGAAAGAGCAATAAGTCAGAAAGCCGAGGAGAGAGAGAAGGGGAGAGAGAGAAAGGAAGAGAGAGAAAGGGAGAGAGAGAAAGGAAGAGAGAGAAAGGAAGAGAGAGAAAGGAAGAGAGAGAAAGGAAGAGAGGGGAAAGGAAGAGAGGGAAAGGAAGAGAGAGAAAGGAAGAGAGAGAGGAAGAGAGAGAAAGGAAGAGAGAGAAAGGAAAAGAGAGAGAAAGGAAGAGAGAGAAAGGAAGAGAGAGAGGGAGAGAGAGAAAGGAAAAGAGAGAGAAAGGAAAAGAGAGAGAAAGGAAGAGAGAAAGGGAGAGAGAGAGGGGAAGAGAGAGAGAGGGGAAGAGAGAGAGAGGGGAAGAGAGAGAAAGGAAAAGAGAGAGAAAGGAAGAGAGAGAGGAAGAGAGAGAAAGGAAGAGAGAGGGGAAGAGAGAGAAAGGAAAAGAGAGAGAAAGGAAGAGAGAAAGGGAGAGAGAGAAATGAAGAGAGAGAGGGGAAAAGAGAGAGAAAGGAAGAGAGAGAAGGGAAGAGAGAGAGAAGGGAAGAGAGGGAAAGGAAAAGAGAGAGAGAAAAGAAGAGAGAGAAAGGAAAAGAGAGAGAAAGGAAGAGATTTACATTTCTAAGGCCGTCTCATTCTATTTGGCAGAAACAAGACGAGGAAATGACGCGGCAAAGGAACGACTTTGAGAGACAAGTGAAAGGTCAGTATTGTGATGGCGGCGGCGATTCCAGGCTGCAGAATATGGCGGGCTGCGTCTGACGCACTTGGCTGTAATGCCGCCATCTCTAAACTCTGTTCACAGAAATTGAAAACAAATATGAGAAGAAGATGCGCATTGTGCGAGATGAGCTGGATCTGCGCAGGAAGACGGAGATTCACGAAGTGGAGGAGAGGAAGAACGGACAGATCAACACTCTGATGAAGAACCACGAAAAGGCCTTCAGTGACATCAAAAACTACTATAATGACATCACACTTAACAATCTGGCTCTCATCAACTCACTCAAGGTAGAATGAACAGGAAGTATGGACTCTGTTATATATCAAAGCCGCTGACTGCATCTAAAACAAACACATAAATGGGTTCAATGATGAAGTACTCAAAACGAAGGTCATGAAAGGTGGAGCAGAATTTCCCGTACATTACACACTGTGAGCAGGGGCGGACTGACAACTCATGGGGCCCCCGGGCAATAGGGGATCATGGGGCCCCTGTGTCCTTGCCCAAACTCAAAAAAGCCTATGGAAAAGGTACCAGGGGCATCTCATGGGGCCCCCTACTGACCCCGGGCCCTCGGGCACTGCCCGAGTTTCCAAATGGTCAGTCCGCCCCTGACTGAGAGATTGCTGCCGCCTACATTGTTTAGTTTGCTGACATTTTGCAAATACATTCCTAAGCTGCAAAATTGACAGTTATGAACTGCAGAACATGGGGGTGCCGGGACGTGGCCCCTGCCGCTCACGCTGCAAATGTGTGCAAACTAAACCCGTTTTTACATGAACTGTTATTGAGGACAATTCGGTTGTTGCCGGTTGGTTGGTGTGTTTGCAGAGCTGGGAATTTTCCTCTGTTGTTTGATATGTATTTCCCTTCCATGTGCTGCAAAGGCGGGTTATAGATTGGGGGAGTGGCCATTTGTTTGTACTGTTCATATACTGGTGGGGGGGGGGGGGGGGGGGGGTGCGCTGGACACCTTGGCTGCCATTGTGCTATATGCTGGGGGTCCAGTGCGCTCCTCTACCTTTAAGGAGGGGCGGGCTCCCTCCAGGCTTACCTGCCCCCAATCTATCCATTAATGTGCGTCTACTATGGGGGCTCCCTCCAGGCTTACCTGCCCCCAATCTATCCATTAATGTGCGTCTACTATGGGGGCTCCCTCCAGGCTTACCTGCCCCCAATCTATCCATTAATGTGCGTCTACTATGGGGGCTCCCTCCAGGCTTACCTGCCCCCAATCTATCCATTAATGTGCGTCTACTATGGGGGCTCCCTCCAGGCTTACCTGCCTGCCCCAATCTATCCATTAATGTGCGTCTACTATGGGGGCTCCCTCCAGGCTTACCTGCCCCCAATCTATCCATTAATGTGCGTCTACTATGGGGGCTCCCTCCAGGCTTACCTGCCCCCAATCTATCCACATATATATGTGCGTCTACAATAGGGGGCTCCCTCCAGGCTTACCTGCCCCCAATCTATCCACATATATATGTGCGTCTACTATGGGGGCTCCCTCCAGGCTTACCTGCCCCCAATCTATCCATTAATGTGCGTCTACTATGGGGGCTCCCTCCAGGCTTACCTGCCCCCAATCTATCCATATATATGTGCGTCTACTATGGGGGCTCCCTCCAGGCTTACCTGCCCCCAATCTATCCATATATATATAGTAGCGTCTACTATGGGGGGTCTCACAGTTTATAGCATAGGAACTGCAGAATATTGGGGTGCTGTGAAGAGGCTCTGCAGCTTACGCATGTATTTGCCAACGTGTGCAAACGAAGCCCCTGTTGTCAATGTGAACTGTTAGGACAATTCGGGGGGTTGCAGGTTGGCTGGTTTACTTGGGAATTTTTCTCTTTTATAGCTTCTATAGAGCTACAGGGAGACCAGAAATGTTTCGTCCTTTTCAGAGGTCTCAGGATCTCGTATTATCAGAAGGGGGTCAGTGAGAGCAGCCACCATGTATCCAGTACACGGCCACTGTGAGTAGATGGAGCAATCTGATTGTGATGGTCGCTGGCTTACAATGCGTATTTGCTCCCCCCCTGATGCTGAATGTTCGCCCCTCACACAGAAATGATCGGTCTAACAATGGAATGTTCGCCCCTCACACAGAAATGATCGGTCTAACAATGGAATGTTCGCCCCTCACACAGAAACGATCGGTCTAACAATGGAATGTTTCCCCTCACACAGACATGATCGGTCTAACAATGGAATGTTCGCCCCTCACACAGAAATGATCGGTCTAACAATGGAATGTTCGCCCCTCACACAGAAATGATCGGTCTAACAATGGAATGTTCGCCCCTCACACAGAAATGATCGGTCTAACAATGGAATGTTCGCCCCTCACACAGAAATGATCGGTCTAACAATGGAATGTTCGCCCCTCACACAGAAATGATCGGTCTAACAATGGAATGTTCGCTGTAACACTGAGAGACAGAATACAACAACAAATTCAGCAGAAATGCGTCTAACAAATGATGACGGATCTGCATGTTCATGAGGGAAAGAAGGATTTGATCCCCTTCACAGAACATGACTTAGTACTTGGTGGCCAATTCCTTGTTGGCAATCACAGAGGTCAGACGTTTCCTGGAGTTGGTCCCCAGGTTCGCACACATCTCAGGAGGGATTTTGGCCCACTCCTCTTGGTGGAGAGTTTGGAATCTGATGGTTTGATGGCTCCTGTGGACAGGTGTCTGTTATACAGGTAACACAATGAGATTAGCAGCACTCCCTTTAAGAGACTGCTTCTAATCTCAGCTTGTTACCTGTATGAGAGACACCTGGGAGCCAGAAATCCTGCTGAATGATAGGGGATCAAATCCTTCTTTACCTCATGAACATGCAGATCCGTCATCATTTGTTAGACGCATTTCTGCTGAATTTGTTGTTGTATTCTGTCTCTCAGTGTTACACCGAACATTCCATTGTTAGACCGATCGTTTCTGTGTGAGGGGCGAACATTCCATTGTTAGACCGATCATTTCTGTGTGAGGGGCGAACATTCCATTGTTAGACCGATCATTTCTGTGTGAGGGGCGAACATTCCATTGTTAGACCGATCATTTCTGTGTGAGGGGCGAACATTCCATTGTTAGACCGATCATTTCTGTGTGAGGGGCGAACATTCCATTGTTAGACCGATCATTTCTGTGTGAGGGGCGAACATTCCATTGTTAGACCGATCATTTCTGTGTGAGGGGCGAACATTCCATTGTTAGACCGATCATTTCTGTGTGAGGGGTGAACATTCCATTGTTAGACCGATCATTTCTCTGTGAGAGGGCGAACATTCAGCATCAGAGGGGGGCAAATACACATTTCCTTCAATGTATCTCCAATGAAGATGGGGGGGGGGGGGGTTTATGTCATCCCTTATTTTTATGATCTAATATTATATCTTTTCTAAAGTCTATTGCCTCTCGGGGGATCAGGAAGGAATGTTTCCCCTGCAGGAGGAGATTGGATCGTGCTTTGCTGGGTTTCTGCCTTCCTCTGGATCCACTGTGGGTGGAGGATTATAACTTTTTATTTTTTTAATGGTTGAACTGGATGGACTTTTGTCTTTTTTTCAGCCAGACTAACTATGGAACTATGTAACTATGTAATGATGTAAGTCACGTAGTTACATAGTTACTGTGGTTGAAAAAAAGACAAAAGTCCATCCAGTTCAACCATTAAAAAAATAAAAAGTTATAATCCTCCACCCACAGTGGATCCAGAGGAAGGCAGAAACCCAGCAAAGCACGATCCAATCTCCTCCTGCAGGGGAAACATTCCTTCCTGACCCCCCGAGAGGCAATCGGATATTCCCGGGATCAATAATCGGATATTCCCGGGATCAATATTCGGATATTCCCGGGATCAATAATCGGATATTCCCGGGATCAATAATCGGATATTCCCGGGATCAATAATCGGATATTCCCGGGATCAATAATCCGATATTCCCGGGATCAATAATCCGATATTCCCGGGATCAATATTCGGATATTCCCGGGATCAATAATCGGATATTCCCGGGATCAATAATCGGATATTCCCGGGATCAATAATCGGATATTCCCGGGATCAATATTCGGATATTCCCGGGATCAATAATCGGATATTCCCGGGATCAATAATCGGATATTCCCGGGATCAATAATTGGATATTCCTGGGATCAATAATCGGATATTCCCTGGATCACCTTTCCCTATAAATGTTATATCCAGTTATATTCTGTGTATCCAATAAGAATCCAGGACTTTCCTACAGCAATCCACTGATTGGCCACACCCACCCACCTCTGGAGGGAGTCTATTCCACATTCTCAGCTCTTACTGTGAAGAACCCTTTCCGTGTTTGGAGATGACATTCCTTTTCCTCCAGATGTAAAGAGCGCCCCCTTGTCCTCTGGGATGACCTCAGGGGGAAGGACTACACCGCTGTAATCTGGTCACATGATCTGGTCCCAGCACTGGCTTTAGTGCAGAGGAGGGGAAGTGACAACAGCTGCAGAGCCTGGCTGATGGTGTCACCTGTAGGATGATTATGGGGCAGCAGTTGTCAGCTGTCCCTCCCTGGAGCTGGCTCTGGAAGCCTGTAGTCATGTGACCGAAGCAGCTGCAGGTAAGTGTAGATCTAGTATAGCGTCTTTCTTTCAGCATTTTCCTTTTTATGGGGTACAATAGTCTTAGAATGGGGGTGGGAGTAGATTTAGGGTAGGACTGAAATGCCCCTTCAATTATTTGGTTTTATCTGTTTGATGCCTGTGGATCCTACATTCGGTGGGCCTGCACTTCCACTGAATTCTTCACCCCTCCCCCAACCACCCATGTTACACATATGAAGACAGGGAGCGGTGTTTTGTAGTCCTAACCTCGGGTGACAACGCTATTCCTCCATAGATGAAATACAGCGAGTGTTGTCACCCTAACACAGGAAGTGTGTTACTAATAGAATCCCCAGGTGAAAAGTAAACGAATGCGGCCACCACGTTCCAGGACTGGAAGGCTGATATTTATAATAATGGGTTTCCTTTATTTCCTCGTCTGGTAAGAAGGATCCTGGAGGTGACAGCGAGGGGAACGTCCATTGAACTCCATCATACAAAGCCTGTCGTCTTCTCCCCTCACAGGAGCAGATGGAGGACATGAGGAGGAAGGAGGACCGTCTGGAGAAGGAAATGGCTGACCTCCAGTTACAGAACCGCAGACTGACTGAACCGCTACAGAAGGCTCGCGAAGAGGTGGCCGAACTCCAGAGACAACTGGCCAACTATGAGAAGGACAAGACAGCCCTGGCTGTGAGTGCAGCTTCACGTGTCCTGGTGTCACGTGTGTTTATATCCGTCTATGGAGCCTGATAGGAGGTTAGGGGAACGCCAGGCATTCCGGGCCTACAAGTTCTGAGCCACTAGCCACCAACAAACACACACGGAAACATGTATACACATACATACAGACACGTGTACACACACATACAAACACGTGTACACACACACACATACAGACACATGTACACACACATACAAACACGTGTACACACACACACATACAGACACATGTACACACACATACAGACACATGTACACACACACACATACAGACACATGTACACAGACACATGTACACACACACATACAGACACATGTACACACACATACAGACACATGTATACACACATACAGACACATGTACACACACATACAGACACATGTACACAGACACATGTACACACACGCACACACATGTACACACACACACATACAGACACATGTACACAGACACATGTACACACACACATACAGACACATGTACACACACATACAGACACATGTATACACACATACAGACACATGTACACACACATACAGACACATGTACACAGACACATGTACACACACGCACACACATGTACACACACACACACATACAGACACATGTACACACACACACATACAGACACATGTACACACACACATACAGACACATGTACACACACACACATACAGACACATGTGTACACACACACACACACAGACACATGTACACACACACACACATACAGACACATGTACACACACACACACACACACACACACACACATGTACACACACACATGTACACACACACACACACACACACACATACAGACGCATGTACACACACACAGGCATGTACAAACATGTATACACACAGATACATGTACATACACAGAAATACACACGCACAGACACATGCACATACAGACACATGTACATACATACATACGCAGATACATGTACACACAGACACATATACGTACATACACACACAGACACATGTACACATACATACACGCAGACACATGTACAGATACACACATGTACATACACACAGACACACACAAACACACATGTACACGTACACACCCCACCACCCCACCCCCCCATAAAAAGTTGCAGTACTTCATTGTTCACTCACAGAGCCGGGGTACTGCACTCTGGGGGGAGGCAGAGAGCACAGCACACACTCCTTGCTTTGCTTTCACTGCACTTAGCTATTGAGCAGTCTGACAGCTCCCAGTGCCAATGACAGATCCGGCCTGAGCTCCGAGCCTGGGGGACACACTCCCCCCCACCATAATTTCCACTCGCCATTGGCAAGTAGGCGAGTGAAATTTCAAACCGTGCGCTAGATACACACATACAGTGTATGAAAGGATTTGTACTTCTCACCATCCTGTCCTGAGATTTACACTGCCCTGTTCTTCACCCTACCAGTAATCCTAACACTTGGAGTTGAAGTAATTGTGTGCCTACCAACCAAACACCAGCTTCTGCCAGGTATGGAGAGCGTACACCAGGGGACACTGAACTGTCACGCAGCAGCTTTCAGTCTCCTCCTCCTCCTCCACCTCTTCCTCCTCCACCTCCACCTCCTCCTCCCCCCTCTTCCTCCTCCCCCCTCTTCCTCCTCCTCCTCCTCCCTAACATTCCTGATGGCCAATGAGGCAAACGGGCATAATGGTGGGCTGGTAGGAAGGCAGAGGACAGGGTGGGCAACATTCATCCGTACCAAGTAGTGTCAGGCCAGGCAACTGGGCAGGTGAGGGGATGGAAAGATGCTGCATCTCAGTACAGGAACCTCAAGGACCCCACATTCACGATATCCGCTCTCCCCGGACCCCGCATTCACCATAACCGCTCTCCCCGGACCCCGCATTCACCATAACCGCTCTCCCCGGACCCCGCATTCACTATATCCCCGGACCCCGCATTCACTATATCCGCTCTCCCCGGACCCCGCATTCACCATATCCGCTCTCCCCCGGACCCCGCATTCACCATAACCGCTCTCCCCGGACCCCGCATTCACCATAACCGCTCTCCCCGGACCCCGCATTCACCATAACCGCTCTCCCCGGACCCCGCATTCACTATATCCCTCTCCCCGGACCCCGCATTCACTGTATCCGCTCTCCCCGGACCCCGCATTCACCATAACCGCTCTCCCCGGACCCCGCATTCACCGTATCCGCTCTCCCCGGACCCCGCATTCCCTATATCCGCTCTCCCCGGACCCCGCATTCACTATATCCGCTCTCCCCGGACCCCGCATTCACTATGTCCCCTCTCCCCGGACCCCGCATTCACTATATCCGCTCTCCCCGGACCCCGCATTCACTATATCCGCTCTCCCCGGACCCCGCATTCACTATATCCCCTCTCCCCGGACCCCGCATTCACTATATCCGCTCTCCCCGGACCCCGCATTCACTGTATCCGCTCTCCCCAGACCCCGCATTCACTATATCCGCTCTCCCCGGACCCCGCATTCACTGTATCCCCTCTCCCCGGACCCCGCATTCACTATATCCGCTCTCCCCGGACCCCGCATTCACTATATCCCCTCTCCCCGGACCCCGCATTCACTGTATCCCCTCTCCCCGGACCCCGCATTCACTGTATCCGCTCTCCCCAGACCCGCATTCACTATATCCGCTCTCCCCGGACCCTGCATTCACTATATCCGCTCTCCCCGGACCCCGCATTCACTATATCCGCTCTCCCCGGACCCCGCATTCACCGTATCCGCTCTCCCCGGACCCCACATTCACCGTATCCGCTCTCCCGGACCCCGCATTCACCGTATCCGCTCTCCCCGGACCCCGCATTCACCATAACCGCTCTCCCCGGACCCCGCATTCACCGTATCCGCTCTCCCCGGACCCCGCATTCCCTATATCCGCTCTCCCCGGACCCCGCATTCACTATATCCGCTCTCCCCGGACCCCGCATTCACTATGTCCCTCTCCCCCGGACCCCGCATTCACTATATCCCCTCTCCCCGGACCCCGCATTCACTATATCCCCTCTCCCCGGACCCCGCATTCACTGTATCCGCTCTCCCCAGACCCCGCATTCACTATATCCGCTCTCCCCAGACCCCGCATTCACTATGTCCCCTCTCCCCGGACCCCGCATTCACTATATCCGCTCTCCCCGGACCCCGCATTCACTATATCCCTCTCCCCGGACCCCGCATTCACCGTATCCGCTCTCCCCGGACCCCGCATTCCCTATATCCGCTCTCCCCGGACCCCGCATTCACTATATCCGCTCTCCCCGGACCCCGCATTCACTATGTCCCCTCTCCCCGGACCCCGCATTCACTGTATCCGCTCTCCCCAGACCCCGCATTCACTATATCCGCTCTCCCCGGACCCTGCATTCACTATATCCGCTCTCCCCGGACCCCGCATTCACTATATCCGCTCTCCCCGGACCCCGCATTCACCGTATCCGCTCTCCCCCCGGACCCCGCATTCACCGTATCCGCTCTCCCCGGACCCCGCATTCACCGTATCCGCTCTCCCCGGACCCCGCATTCACCATAACCGCTCTCCCCGGACCCCGCATTCACCGTATCCGCTCTCCCCGGACCCCGCATTCCCTATATCCGCTCTCCCCGGACCCCGCATTCACTATATCCGCTCTCCCCGGACCCCGCATTCACTATGTCCCCTCTCCCCGGACCCCGCATTCACTATATCCCCTCTCCCCGGACCCCGCATTCACTATATCCCCTCTCCCCGGACCCCGCATTCACTGTATCCGCTCTCCCCGACCCCGCATTCACTATATCCGCTCTCCCCAGACCCCGCATTCACTATGTCCCCTCTCCCCGGACCCCGCATTCACTATATCCGCTCTCCCCGGACCCCGCATTCACTATATCCCCTCTCCCCGGACCCCGCATTCACCGTATCCGCTCTCCCCGGACCCCGCATTCCCTATATCCGCTCTCCCCGACCCCGCATTCACTATATCCGCTCTCCCCGGACCCCGCATTCACTATGTCCCCTCTCCCCGGACCCCGCATTCACTATATCCCCTCTCCCCGGACCCCGCATTCACTATATCCCCTCTCCCCGGACCCCGCATTCACTGTATCCGCTCTCCCCAGACCCCGCATTCACTATATCCGCTCTCCCCAGACCCCGCATTCACTATGTCCCCTCTCCCCGGACCCCGCATTCACTATATCCGCTCTCCCCGGACCCCGCATTCACTATATCCCCTCTCCCCGGACCCCGCATTCACTATATCCGCTCTCCCCGGACCCCGCATTCACTATATCCCCTCTCCCCGGACCCCGCATTCACTGTATCCCCTCTCCCCGGACCCCGCATTCACTGTATCCGCTCTCCCCAGACCCGCATTCACTATATCCGCTCTCCCCGGACCCCGCATTCACTATATCCGCTCTCCCCGGACCCCGCATTCACTATATCCGCTCTCCCCGGACCCCGCATTCACCGTATCCGCTCTCCCCGGACCCCGCATTCACCGTATCCGCTCTCCCCGGACCCCGCATTCACCGTATCCGCTCTCCCCGGACCCCGCATTCACCGTATCCGCTCTCCCCGGACCCCGCATTCACCGTATCCGCTCTCCGGACCCCGCATTCACCGTATCCGCTCTCCCCGGACCCCGCATTCACCGTATCCTCTCTCCCCGGACCCCGCATTCACCATATCCGCTCTCCCCGGACCCCGCATTCACCGTATCCGCTCTCCCCGGACCCCGCATTCACCGTATCCGCTCTCCCCGGACCCCGCATTCACCGTATCCGCTCTCCCCGGACCCCGCATTCAATATATCCGCTCTCCCCGGACCCCGCATTCACTATATCCGCTCTCCCCGGACCCCGCATTCACTGTATCCGCTCTCCCCGGACCCCGCGTTCACTATATCCGCTCTCCCCGGACCCCGCATTCACTATATCCCCTCTCCCCGGACCCCGCATTCACTATATCCCCTCTCCCCGGACCCCGCATTCACTGTATCCCCCGGACCCCGCACTCACTGTATCCGCTCTCCCCGGACCCCGCATTCACTATATCCGCTCTCCCCGGACCCCGCATTCACTATATATCCGCTCTCCCCGGACCCCGCATTCACTATATATCCGCTCTCCCCGGACCCCGCATTCACTGTATCCGCTCTCCCCGGACCCCGCACTCACTGTATCCGCTCTCCCCGGACCCCGCATTCACTATATCCGCTCTCCCCCGGACCCCGCATTCACTATATATCCGCTCTCCCCCGGACCCCGCATTCACTGTATCCGCTCTCCCCCGGGACCCCGCATTCACTATATCCCCTCTCCCCGGACCCCGCATTCACTATATCCGCTCTCCCCGGACCCCGCATTCACTGTATCCGCCCCCCCCCCCGACCCCGCATTCACTATATCCGCTCTCCCCGGACCCCGCATTCCCTATATCCGCTCTCCCCGGACCCCGCATTCCCTATATCCGCTCTCCCCGGACCCCGCATTCACTATATCTGCCCTCCCCGGACCCCGCATTCACTATATCCGCTCTCCCCGGACCCCGCATTCACTTTAACCATCTGCCTGCTGGAAAAAAAAAAATGTGGAAGACAAGACTTTTTTTTTTTTACATAGCAAACCCAACAGATTGGACAGGAGGGCAAATTCAGATGCAGGAGAGAGTGACTCGAGTGCTCTGACCCATTTACTTGTATATATATCTTCATTTTAGCAACTTCGTCTGTTCCTAACCCCAGAAACCACTAAACAGCTCATCCCTCATCATATCACGACTCGACTACTGCAACTCCCTCCTCACTGGCCTGCCTCACCACAGGCTATCCCCGCTTCAGTCCATCCTGAATACGGCTGCCAGACTCATTCACCTTTCCAACCGCTCCATCTCCGCCACCCCCCTCTGCCAATCCCTCCACTGGCTCCACCCCCCTCTGCCAATCCCTCCACTGGCTCCACCCCCCTCTGCCAATCCCTCTACTGGCCTCCATTCAGTGTCCTCCACCCCCCTCTGCCAATCCCTCCACCCCCCCCTCTGCCAATCCCTCCACTGGCCTCCACTCAGTGTCCTCCACCCCCCTCTGCCAATCCCTCCACTGGCCTCCACTCAGTGTCTTCCACCCCCCTCTGCCAATCCCTCCACTGGCCTCCACTCAGTGTCCTCCACCCCCCTCTGCCAATCCCTCCACTGGCCTCCACCCCCCTCTGCCAATCCCTCCACTGGCCTCCATTCAGTGTCCTCCACCCCTCTCTGCCAATCCCTCCACTGGCCTCCATTCAGTGTCCTCCACCCCTCTCTGCCAATCCCTCCACTGGCCTCCATTCAGTGTCCTCCACCCCCCTCTGCCAATCCCTCCACTGGTCTCCACTCAGTGTCCTCCACCCCTCTCTGCCAATCCCTCCACTCAGTGCCCTCCACCCCCCTCTGCCAATCCCTCCACTGGTCTCCATTCAGTGTCCTCCACCCCTCTCTGCCAATCCCTCCACTGGCCTCCACTCAGTGTCCTCCACCCCCCTCTGCCAATCCCTCCACTGGCCTCCATTCAGTGTCCTCCACCCTCCTCTGCCAATCCCTCCACTGGCCTCCATTCAGTGTCCTCCACCCCTCTCTGCCAATCCCTGCACTGGCCTCCATTCAGTGTCCTCCACCCCTCTCTGCCAATCCCTCCACTGGCCTCCACTCAGTGTCCTCCACCCTCCTCTGCCAATCCCTCCACTGGCCTCCATTCAGTGTCCTCCACCCCCCTCTGCCAATCCCTCCACTGGTCTCCACTCAGTGTCCTCCACCCCTCTCTGCCAATCCCGTCTCGTCTCCAGGACTTCTCCAGGGCTTCCCCCATCCTCTGGAACTCACTACCCCAACCCATCAGACTATCACCTACTCTCCTCTCCTTTAGGCGCACCCTGAAAACCCATCTTTTCAGGGAAGCCTATCCCACCCCCTGCTAACTTGCTGACCTCCTCCACTCTTCCCACCACTCCATCCCCCACAGCTATCTCCTCCTGTACCACCATCCCCTCCCTCCTAGATTGTAAGCTCCCAGGATCAGGGCCCTGGAACCCCTCGTGTATTGTATTGTTACTGTACTGTCACATGTTCTGTCCCCCTTTGTAATGTACAGCGCTGAGCCAACTATCGGCGCTTTATAAATACTGTATAATAATAATAATAATAATAATAACAATAATAATAATAATAATAATAATTGAGTTCTATAAACAGATTTGTTCAACACAACAGCATAAACCTAAAATCATGCGAAAATGAGTCAAGAGCGCCACCTAATGGCTGGATTTTAAATTACACCAAATTCCTATTCAACATTTCAAATGAAATAAACAATTGAGTCCTGACGGGATACTTTTTTTATTTGCACTAACATACAATTTTGAGGACAAGCTTTCAGGGTCTGTCCCCTTCTTCAAGGTCTAAGCAGTACTATTAAAAATCACAAAGTTTAAGCAGAATGTTAGAATGGATTGAGAGAAAAAAAAAAAAGGGCTACAGATAAGATACATCAAAAGTGAGGGGGGAGGGGGGGATACAACACTCACACAGAGGGGGGGAGGGGGGATACAACACTCACACAGAGGGGGGGAGGGGGGATACAACACTCACACAGAGGGGGGGAGGGGGGATACAACACTCACACAGAGGGGGGGAGGGGGGATACAACACTCACACACAGAGGGGGGGGGGGGGATACAACACTCACACAGAGGGGGGGAGGGGGGATACAACACTCACACAGAGGGGGGAGGGGGGATACAACACTCACACAGAGGGGGGGAGGGGGGATACAACACTCACACAGAGGGGGGGAGGGGGGATACAACACTCACACAGAGGGGGGGGAGGGGGGATACAACACTCACACAGAGGGGGGGAGGGGGGATACAACACTCACACAGAGGGGGGGGAGGGGGGGGATACAACACTCACACAGAGGGGGGGAGGGGGGATACAACACTCACACAGAGGGGGGGAGGGGGGATACAACACTCACACAGAGGGGGGGAGGGGGGGGGGATACAACACTCACACAGAGGGGGGAGGGGGGATACAACACTCACACAGAGGGGGTCAAGTTTTAGCTAATAGATAGTCATAAAGCTGGCGGATAATGGTTGAGGAATCCCAGGTCCAAATTAAGACCGTTATCTTTAGTGTCAAATAGAATTATCATTCTTAGTTCAAATGTTTTTCTTTCCTGGATGGATTTAAATTTTCCTTTCAGAACTAAAACATTGAGGTCTTCCATATTGTGGTCTGGTTGTGAGAAATGGTGTCCCTCAGGTGTGCAGAGGTCCTCTTCTTTATGTTCCTTGATGGGATGTCTGTGCAGATTCATCCTTGTTGGCACCTTCTGTCCTGTTTCACCAACATAAGATCCTTTGCTGCATTTTCTGCACTGGATGAGGTACACCACATGACTGGAGGTGCAGCTGTACGATCCGCAGATACTGAAGATCCCTTTTGAGTGTCGGACACTTTTTGATGGATTGATTTGGTTGCACAGCTTGCAGCGTTTCTTATTGCAGGGTTTGCTTCCATTATTTGTGGCATCATCATCAGAGGGAAGTTTCCTATTGATTAGTTTATTTCTGAGGGGGGGTTGTCTGAAAGCCAGTATTGGGGGTTGTCTGAAGGCCAGTATTGGGGGGGTGTCTGAAGGCCAGTATTGGGGGGGTGTCTGAAGGCCAGTATTGGGGGGTTGTCTGAAGGCCAGTATTGGGGGTTGTCTGAAAGCCAGTATTGGGGGTTGTCTGAAGGCCAGTATTGGGGGTTGTCTGAAGGCCAGTATTGGGGGTTGTCTGAAGGCCAGTATTGGGGGTTGTCTGAAGGCCAGTATTGGGGGTTGTCTGAAGGCCAGTATTGGGGGTTGTCTGAAGGCCAGTATTGGGGGGGTGTCTGAAGGCCAGTATTGGGGGTTGTCTGAAGGCCAGTATTGGAGGGTTGTCTGAAGGCCAGTATTGGAGGGTTGTCTGAAGGCCAGTATTGGGGGGGGTTGTCTGAAGGCCAGTATTGGGGGGGTGTCTGAAGGCCAGTATTGGGGGTTGCTGGAATATTTCTTTCAGAGTTCCATCCTCTGTTATGATGGGTTGTAAATCTTTGATTATTTTTCTTACCCCTTCTAGTGCCGGGTTGTATGTAGTTACTAGAGGTACGCGGTTGTTTGTTTTTTTCTCTTTGTACTGAAGCAGATTTTCCCTTCGGGTTCTCAAGGCTGTGGTTATGCCGGTGTTGATAGTTTTGTCCTTGTAACCTTTCTTATGGAAGGCGTCTGCTAGTGTCCCGAGATGTGTATCTCTGTCTCTTGGGTCAGAACATACTCGGTGGTATCTGATGGCCTGACTGTGTATGATGGCACGTTTTGTGTGTTGGGGGTGGAAGCTGGAACTGTGGAGGTAGTGGCATCTGTCGATGGGTTTCCTGTATATTGAGGTGTGAAGCGTATCATCCCTGATGTATACTGTGGTGTCCAGGAAGGTGACCTGTGTGTTTGAGTATTCCATTTTTAGTTTGATTGATGGATGAAAAGTGTTCATCAATGAGTAAAATTGTTTTAGATTTTCTTCACCTTCCGTCCATATGATGAAAATATCATCAATATAGCGAATGCATCTGTATGGTTTTTGTTCCGTGCTGTTCAGGAATTGTTCCTCCATGTCAGCCATAAATAAATTTGCATATTGGGGTGCCATTTTACTTCCCATCGCAGTGCCCATACATTGAAGATAGATGTCCTTATTGAAAGCAAATCCCTGTATAGTAATATCCCTCACAAGGATGGATTAGCTGCATGTCACAGATCCTTATCATCCTCACCAAACCACAAATACACTGCTGAGGATGTTACACAGCTCATTGAATTCATACTTACACACAACTACTTTGCCTTCAATAAGGACATCTATCTTCAATGTCTGGGCACTGCGATGGGAAGTAAAATGGCACCCCAATATGCAAATTTATTTATGGCTGACATGGAGGAACAATTCCTGAACAGCACGGAACAAAAACCATACAGATACATTCGCTATATTGATGATATTTTCATCATATGGACGGAAGGTGAAGAAAATCTAAAACAATTTTACTCATTGATGAACACTTTTCATCCATCAATCAAACTAAAAATGGAATACTCAAACACACAGGTCACCTTCCTGGACACCACAGTATACATCAGGGATGATACGCTTCACACCTCAATATACAAGAAACCCACCGACAGATGCCACTACCTCCACAGTTCCAGCTTCCACCCCCAACACACGAAACGTGCCATCATACACAGTCAGGCCATCATATACCACCGAGTATGTTCTGACCCAAGAGACAGAGATAAACATCTCAGGACACTAGCAGACGCCTTCCATAAGAAAGGTTACAAGGACAAAACTATCAACACCAACATAAACACAGCCTTGAGAACACGAAGGGAAAATCTGCTTCAGTACAAAGAGAAAAAAACAAACAACCGCGTACCTCTAGTAACTACATACAACCCGGCACTAGAAGGGGTAAGAAAAATAATCAAAGATTTACAACCCATCATAACAGAGGATGGAACTCTGAAAGAAATATTCCAGCAACCCCCAATAACTGGCCTTCAGACAACCCCCCCCAATACTGGCCTTCAGACAACCCCCAATACTGGCCTTCAGACAACCCTCCAATACTGGCCTTCAGACAACCCCCAATACTGGCCTTCAGACAACCCTCCAATACTGGCCTTCAGACAACCCTCCAACCTCAGAAATAAAACTAATCAGTAGGAAACTTCCCTCTGATGATGATGCCACAAATAATGGAAGCAAACCCTGCAATAAGAAACGCTGCAAGCTGTGCAACCAAATCAATCCATCAAAAAGTGTCCGACACTCAAAAGGGATCTTCAGTATCTGCGGATCGTACAGCTGCACCTCCAGTCATGTTGTGTACCTCATCCAGTGCAGAAAATGCAGCAAAGGATCTTATGTTGGTGAAACAGGACAGAAGGTGCAAACAAGGATGAATCTGCACAGACATCCCATCAAGGAACATAAAGAAGAGGACCTCTGCACACCTGAGGGACACCATTTCTCACAACCAGACCACAATATGGAAGACCTCAATGTTTTAGTTCTGAAAGGAAAATTTAAATCCATCCAGGAAAGAAAAACATTTGAACTAAGAATGATAATTCTATTTGACACTAAAGATAACGGTCTTAATTTGGACCTGGGATTCCTCAACCATTATCCGCCAGCTTTATGACTATCTATTAGCTAAAACTTGACCCCCTCTGTGTGAGTGTTGTATCCCCCCTCCCCCCTCTGTGTGAGTGTTGTATCCCCCCTCCCCCCTCTGTGTGAGTGTTGTATCCCCCCTCCCCCCTCTGTGTGAGTGTTGTATCCCCCCTCCCCCCTCTGTGTGAGTGTTGTATCCCCCCTCCCCCCCTCTGTGTGAGTGTTGTATCCCCCCTCCCCCCCTCTGTGTGAGTGTTGTATCCCCCCTCCCCCCTCTGTGTGAGTGTTGTATCCCCCCTCCCCCCCTCTGTGTGAGTGTTGTATCCCCCCTCCCCCCCCCTCTGTGTGAGTGTTGTATCCCCCCTCCCCCCCTCTGTGTGAGTGTTGTATCCCCCCCCCCCCCCTGTGTGAGTGTTGTATCCCCCCTCCCCCCCCTCTGTGTGAGTGTTGTATCCCCCCTCCCCCCTCTGTGTGAGTGTTGTATCCCCCCTCCCCCTCTGTGTGAGTGTTGTATCCCCCCTCCCCCCCTCTGTGTGAGTGTTGTATCCCCCCTCCCCCCCCTCTGTGTGAGTGTTGTA